AAATGATGGGAAAGGCAAAATGGCAATATAAGTTCTCTTCAGCAGACTGCTGTTGCATGGCAGGTTGGGGTGATCTGTAGTCCAAATGCTTTCACCCTACATACAGTGTGTTCTAGCATTTGGCTCTCTTTGCACACTTAAACGTGCCTAGTGAATATTTTGACATACGTGCAGCCTTGGCAAACCTGGCATTACAAAAAAATTCTGTTTCTTACTGTATAAGGGCATCAGCTGTGAAGATTTGGCCTTCTCTTGAAGTCTGTAGTACAAGTTTATGTAGAGTAGTTGATTGCAGGAGGTATTTTAAATTGAATTTAGGATAATCGAGTTATATTTACTTCCTTCTGTATTAAACTTCTATTCCCTTATGTCATTTGAACATGGCGTATAATATATAAGTTAGTGGAGATTGCAGTGGTGGTTCTCTTGCTGGGATAAGTCAAGAGAAGATGGATTGCTTAAATAACTGGGAAGATTTAAAACATACCATGTCTTTATGTAGTCCCATGAGGAAGCAATTACTTTCCAATCTCAAAGAAGTCTGAACAAATATGTAGGATAAAACTGAAGTTTCAAGATGGTGTAGGAAGTCACATGCAAGACAAACGCGTGGACCCAGAGTGTCAAAACATTTTGTTTCACATGGCTGGATGCAAACTTTCACAAAAGGTTTTATGAATTAAGCAGTATCTAACCCTAGTCTGTCAGTTTAGATTTAGTGGTTGCTTGTTAACTAGAAGGATCTTTGATTTCAGAGTTAATTATTGGTTATCATCCGATCTGTGAGTTCATAGTGTAATATTCTCACCACCTATTTATATTGAATCAGCTTTATATTATGAGTATAGTCTTGTTTTTTTCAAATCTGTTTCAGCCCATAATTAATTCAGTATTTCAAGAGTTTTGATGCCATACTGCAGTGTTTTAGGCTTTGACTCTCTTGCTTTTTTTCTTTTCCTTTTCTCTCTTCTTTTTTTTTTTCCCCTGCCTCTGCTCTGCAATAAACTACTTCATAGGGAAACAATCTTTCTTTTCTGACGGACCTGGTTGGCTACCTTTTAATGTCAGAAAAAGTATCATTATTTCTAACTAGTGCTTTTCTTTGTTAAATGTGGTATAAAATATATATTAATATGTTTTCATGTCATTTATTCATATGTAGTAAAGAAGTAAAAAAGGAAAATCTGCATTTTTAGTTGCACTGAAAGCCAGTGAGAAGTCAGCAGTTTTTTTATAGCTGCACTGCTATGTAAAAACAGGAGCATAAAGACATAGGACAGTTCCTTCTGAATCAGTTGCCCATCTATCTTACTGTTCTGTCTCAGAGGCACTAGGAGGTGCTGTTTATGGAAATCCCATGAACCTGCTATTTTCTGTCTTCTATTTTCCTAATATTGCCCCAGCACCCAAGATTGTGTTAAAGAGGAGTGCATCTCTGATTCATGCTTTCAGTATGTACTTAGACATTAGGGAGAATTTTTAGACATCAGGCAGCATTTCTTCACTGTAGGGGTTGTCAGCCATTGGAAAAGGTTCCCAGGGAAGTGGTGGAGTCACTATATCTAAAAGTGTTCAAGAAATGAATGGACAAGGCACTTAGTGTTGTGGCCTGGTTGACAGTGGAGATCGGTCACAGGTTGGAGTTGTTGATCTTGGAGGTCTTTTCCAATCTTAAAACTCTATGATTTATGAATTTACTGTTTGTTAATTTGCCTAAAACCCTTCTGAATCCTCTGAGATGATAAGCATCTGGGAACATCTCAGATGCCCTCTACTGACTTTTAAATTGCCATTTCTTAAAATGCTGTCTCTTCTACCAGCCTTATGCTGCTCTCCTATTAGTCCTTGTATTTCAGGATTTGGTGACCAGCAGTCCTTCAGTCACTTTATCCACCACCTTTGTGTTTCTCTAAACCCTGAAATCTTGTCCATTGGCCTACTTGTCTCCAAAAAGTTGAGGCCATTTTAATCTCTTCATAAGTCCTTTGATCATTTTTAGCTGCCCTTACTTGGACTTTCTCTAAATCTACGAAAAGGAGGGGAAAGAAAAAGAGAACAAACTAGATAAATATATGTGAAGTGTTCATACAGGAGTTCTCACAGAGACTGAGATTCGCTAGCACGTATATGGGGCTTTTTTTCTTGTTTTATACTCAAATTTGAGAAAAAATTTATCTTGAAACAATGTGACTTTTAATCAATCTTCATTGCTAAAAGAAGTTGAAATGACACCTCAAGCTGTGTTAGGAGAAGCAGAAAATACAGGCAGAAGCATAAGTGTGGAGGAATGAAAGTTACTGAAAAAGATGCCTGGTGAGATATTGTCACAAAGGTAACAGCTATAAGTAAAAAGAACCGTAAAGGAATTATAAAAGTTAAGGAGAACATTTTCTGTTCCTCTTTAGTCTTCCCACTGTGCCCAGGCAATAGCATCTTCTGTTGAGATAAATGTTCTTTTTTCCAGAAAACATTTGTATCAGAACTGTATCTCTTGATAAAAACAATACTAACTGATTTTACTTGCAGTACATGATTATTCCCTCTTATGGGTTAAGCAAAGCTGCAAGACCGATTGGAACTTGTTAGATAGCAAAAGCAGGATATGGAGACAACATCTGATAGCAAGTATCTGCAGTGAATGTAAAGAAGATTTTGACCTAGTAAATCTTACAGTAACATTATGAGACACTTATATAAACTTATTGTGTGACACGATTGAGACTATAATTCCATATTGTGAAAATGGGAATTGCAGGAGAATAAATGATGTTCAGCTGATCATCAGTCAGTCTCATGCCAGGAGCTTTAAGAAGAAGGGATGCAAAGTCCCTGCATGTAGCAAATGTTCAGAAGCTCAAAAACTGATGTCATACATATATAAATGGGTCAGTCCCTGAGATATTTGAGCTGTTAAAAAAAAAAAAAAAAAAAAAAAAAAAAAGAGGGAAGCAAAAGTAGCATCCAGTCATGAATTTCTAAATATTTTGTCTTTGACCTTAAAGATACTAAGCATGACTTTGTGTTGTCCAGCCTGCAGTGTGCACTGTGAAACTCTTTGAATCCTTTGTCCCTTGATGGCAGTTTCAGGAGGATCCAGGACTGTATTGCCAAATCATATATATGAAATTATGAGTTCTGTTGAACTACTAGCAGTTTTCTCAAGCTTCAAATCTTTCGTTGGCAAATATTGTTTATTTTAAAGGTCTTGCATGAACTTACATTCACTACCTTCTTAATATTATATTCCATTTCAAACAACCCTAATCAGACACCTTTGCCCTGTTGCAAACAATGCAGCATTGCCTGATATGAAACATAGTCAGCTATTTTATATTCTCCTTCATTGTAAGTGCATAGATTTTCCATACGTCTAGATGTATGTCTAGATGTATGTCGAGACCTATACTAAAAAGCAAAAAAAACAGATTATTACTTTGCCTGAAAAGGGCAAAGCACTAGGTGTGTTATCAGAGGCAGGCTGAGTTATGGCTTTATTTGGATTCCAGTCTGTTAGTTCCTCTCCATGAATAACCAATTATGATTCATATTTCCAAATACCAGTCATTTCATAAATCCTGCTGGAGAGCACAGCAGTGTAGCTAAAGTGCTGTCATGGAGCTCTACCCATAAAGTCACTGATGCAGTTATAATATATCTGCACATAATTTAATTCCCTTGTTGCATGTCTTGGAGGTATGTATTCCCATAGTCTCACATTTAAAATCCCTTAATTAAAGATGCTCTTCCTTGTCTCTTGTATATACTTAGAATTCTAAACAGGTGCTGTTTTTAAAGTGTTCAAGGGATTTAATTGGGCCCTCTATATCATACAGTGAAAGCCAGAGACCTCTAGTTTCTATGTCACAAGATTATTATTTTACTTAGTCATTATGATAACAGGTCCTGAAGTTCTGGCTTGTCCTGATTCTACAATAATTTAATAATTTCCTTTCCACATTTGCTTTTGCAAATTGTGTGTGTTACAGAAAGTGATTTCTGCGATGTCCTGAAAGAAATGGAAGTGTTAGTGTTCTTCAGAATTTGCAGGAGATCTCGTATTATCTCATGACCCAATAAACCCCACTCTGCTATTGCTGCAGTATAGTAGCATATTCCATATACTCAGTTCAAACATACTCAGTATCAGGAAGCAAACTGAGCAACTTAAAATGCCCTCATCATTGTGAATTAGAAGTTCGTATTAGGGTACCATTATTTCAAATCTGAAAGGTTAAATACATTAGGATAAAAAAAACTTGTCAGAAATAAAAAGCAGGAGGCCACCTTATTAAATAAGAAAAGTTAGGTTAAGAAAAAGAATGTTATAGGAAAGAAGCCTTCATTGCACTGCAACATTAGGAAAACTGAACTGGAGATAGTCAAATACTCAGTTCATAAGCAATCCCAAGTCTAGTTAGTTTAAATAATATCTACAGTGAAAGAGATTGAAGGAAAATATCTGGGAAAACTTGTCTGCATTTCTCACAAAAAAATTACTGTTTAAAAATCTAACTTGTTTATTACAAACAGGCTGATCAGTGCTTATCTCAAATATGCATGGACCTTAATCACCTGAGAATTGCAGCAAGATTCACTTTTGTTTCAGTTGGATGAGAATCTTACCAAACTAGAGCTAATGGTTTGCTAGCCATTGTTCAAAATTCAGTATCTTAACTCTGTGAAGGCTTATGTTTTGCTTTAGTTTCCTCGTAGCAGACACAGTATGTGCTGCTACATGTGGAGTAAGAAGTTAAAACCCAAATGTTTCCTTTATTTAATGACAGACATTAAAGCTACAAAAAGAACAGCCTGAACAGAACCCAACAGTGAACAGAGAAGACAACTTGTCAAAGTTAATCAAATTTTGTGTTGAAGGAGATCTCTCATTACTGCTATTTCAAGTTATTTGGTGTTTCTGAAAGAATTTACTCTGATAGGTGTCCACATAATTACAGGTGATTTTATAAGTATTCACTTAGTGGGATCCACTGGAACAGTACCTTTCTCTTAGCTTTGAGCTGCTCGTGATATTTGTTGGATGTGTCGCCTGGTATTTCTCCTCCCCAGAGGGTAATTCCCACCATGGAATAAGTGATGCCCATGACAAGCAGTGGAAAGCAGTAGACCAACACAATCACAATAACATGATACCTGAAATGAAAAGGTGTTAAGGTGGTAAATGCTTTCAGAGGAGTTATACCAATGGAATGGGCTGCTAGAAGTCAAGACTGCTACTTTAGCACAAAGCATGTTTTATATTAATTGGCTAGTCCTTGTTGTTTTCGCTGTCTTTTTGAAAGTCTTGAATTGCACTGCAAATTTATGTACATGTTAATGCATGTGCTTTGTGGGGTGTCTAATGCTGAGCCTGCTCTAGTGTATATTATTAATAACTCTATAGTTACCATGATTAGTGAGTGCAGAATAAGGTATGTTTGTCCATAACTAGCTGACTTAATTGCACAGCCAGGTATCATGAGGGCAAGCTAGGCATTTGGAGCTCTGGTCTGGACTATAAATGAAAGAGGAAAATAAGTATTTTAGTGATATATTGATATAAAGACCCTGATAAGAGTCCTGTCACCCACCGTTCTTCATATGGCAGATCTGTTGCACATAGACAGCACAGATCTGTAGCCTGTGTGCAATATAGTCACTACTGCTGATGTAAGCTCTGGGAAAATAAAGATAGTTTCTTTTGCCTCCTATTAGTTCCTGGTTAAATGCCAACTTCAGATAAAATCCTAGTGAATGATCAGTGAAGAATCCTCAGCTGTCACTGAGTGTGACCTTCCTGCCCTAAAGAGAAATGTCTGTGTACGGCTCCTAAAGTGATAAAAATTACATATGACCAGGACTTCTTTCACCTGCCTCAAAAAGAGCAAAAGGTCAAATTTGATTCTAGATGGTTACACAGGCTTTCAGCCTTGAACGCAGTGTTTTTCTTAAATGTCAATGAAGACATGAAAGGACAGATGCCTAAGTAGCCCCTTATTCCTAATTCTGCCAAAAGGACAAACGGGTTCTATTTAATTTAATTGAATGATATTCTCACTTTCAGAAAGCGGAACCAGTTACAGGTTATCCAGTTTTTTTCTTTTGGACTAATATCTGACATAAGTAATTGTGATAGTGTAACAGAATGAAGTAATAAAATCCAACCCTCTCATGAAGAGATCTAGAGAAAAAAAATCTGGTTAGGGCCTGAAAGGAGATTGTAGTGAGGTGGATGTCTCTTCTCCCTAGTTACAAGAGAAGAAATGGCTTCAGGCTGTGCCAGGGGAGGTTTAGACTGAGTATTAGGATTTTTTTTCATGAGAAGTGTTGTCAAACATTGTTACTGGCCAGAGGAGCAATTGATTCACCATCCCTGGATGTATTTAAAAATGTGTAGATGTGGTACTTAGTGACATGGTCTAGTGGTGGACTTGGTAGTGTAAGGTTAGTGGCTGGACTTGATGACCTTAGAGGTCTTTTCCAAACTAAATGATTCTAAGGAGAGACTAGAAATCCTTGTTTTCCTAGTTAGAATAAAGAGGAAGCTTGCTTGAATTGCATGCTGTCTTCCCAATTCTGACCATCTCTCTCTGTATAGAAGTAGCCATCTTAGGTTGAGCAATGATAAAAGTGCAGCACTGGAGGGAGCACACAGAGATGTAGAAGAGAATAAATTTGTATTGTTTATCACATATAATGCTTCATCTTCCTTACTTAGAAAACAGGCTCTGCATTTCTCAGTGAACAAAGCTCTTACTCTGCATGTAGAGTATCTGCACAACGCTAGAGATTTTGCTAAGTCTATTGCAAGTCTAGACACCCCCATGCACAAGTTTAAAAGAACAAAAGCTTACGTAAAATGCTGTTTTGGACCACCTGGCCATGCTACATAGCAAAGAGTTCTCCCAGGCATCACCTTGGTTATGGAGTATAGGCACTGGGGAAAGGCCAACAGGAATGCCAAAATCCATATGCTCCCAATGACCACCTTGGTAGCAGTTGCAGAGAGCCTAGGTTTCAAGGGATCAATAATGGCCATGTATCTGTAAAAGAAAGCAAAAACCTCTGTGTAAGAAATCTTCAGAGATTCGTATGTATCTAGAATCAGCCAAAGTTTAGGATAAAAGAGAAGCATAAAAGCAGAGATATTTATCTTCCTGCAGTTTTGATGTCACTGTGCTCTTTGTGTGGTTCAGCTCCAATGAAGGCAGCGCCTGGAAGGAGAAGAAGGTTCGTTGGATATTATTTTGCAGCCATGGGACACACAGTTAATCAAATGTGTATCAGTAGAGAAACTATTTAGCTAAGAGTTAGACCATTCTGTTACCGTACAGCCTGATTGAAAAGCAACAATGCCACTGTATCCTCTGTTACTCTTCTAGGTCATACAGCATTTATTTCTAATACAAAAATTTACAGCCAAGCTGTCAGGATTATTAGTCACCTGTCCCAAAGCTACAGGAACCTGATAAGTCCATGTGCATTTATTTAGTAGAGATAGACTGACTTCAGATTGTCTGGCAAAGAACACCAGAGCAGCTGATTTGTACAGAGACTGATTGAAGAGGCAGTTAAGAACTGGTGAAAGCACTAAGGGAAACAAATGCATAAAGCAAGAAAACATCTCATTTGCCTTCTCAGTTCCTGTGTTTCCAGGTAGGATAGCATTCTTTGGGCTGCCCCATAATTGTATTGGTAATTCATGTGTGCTGGTAACCTTGGAAGAAGGTTAGAAGAACACGTGAAAAAGTAATAAAAAAGTTTAAGTAATTACAATGTAAAAGCTTAGGGAAAAAAAACAATGAGAGAAAGCATCTAGACAGACAGTAATAGAAAAACAAGTCTTGTTTTCTGTCTTTTGATCTCTGTTGCAGATACAAGGGACGCACAAAATTTGTATCAATCATTTTTTGATTATATATAATTGATTAATATAGTGTATTTGCTGCAATTAAAAGTCTCTTACTCATTTCAAATGAAGGAAGGAGTGATATGGTTTAATTGTTACAGTACACATCCATGTTCGTGGCAGACTTGCCCAAGATTCTTAGGTACAGACATTAGCAACAAGACAGTAATAATATTTGTAAGATAATGTTCCTGATAAGAATTTATGCAAGAATCTTCTGCATCCATATTTACCTGCTGTGGTGCACAGATTTCACTCAAGATAGTCTAACTTTTTTGGAAATTTTATACGTGACTGATGAGTAATTACAGAACAGATGTTTGTTTTAGCAAAGCTAACTCTGTTTATAATTAATGATAAAATATATGATCCAACATTGGTCATAATAGTGCTATGCCTTCTCTAGTAGGCACGACAACCGCCCTAATACCTTAAAACATCTAAATGCTGTCAGAAACAGGGAGTGATCTAAAACAGCTTCAGTTCTGAATCATCCATATCTAGAATTACAAGTTTGTTCGCTTTTGTTCTTACTGCACTTTGATAATTTTTCTCCACAGGGTAACAGTTAGTTCCCCTCTCTTTCATGTGCCTTTTGTTTTTTATTTCAGCTAAACTGGTGCTTTTGGTATTGCAACTATGAAATAGTTTTATTTGAGCTGGCTGTCTTCTGTTTCTTGAGAAGAGCAGTTGGATTTTTGCCCTCTACCACCTAGCTCCCTTCTCCTCCAACAAGTAAGTACCACTCGGTAAAGAAGTCAGGTTTATAGTCATGAGCCCTTTCAAATTGAGCTGGCTTTTGTGCCAGCATTGTCCAAATGTTTGATGATCTTGTAGTAAGTGATAAGCCATAAACAAATAATCATTTTCACATGCTTCTGAGACTCTTAAGGCATATCCTCCTAGCCTGGAATTATTCCTTCAAATTGCTACTTTTCTTCAGATTGCACATTGCTATTATTTTATGTGCTATTGTCAGATTTCTCTTACATTCACATTATTCTTATTCCCAGTTCTATTATTCATACTGCCAATAGATACCCACAGTAGTTCTTGTTGCCGAAGATAAAATTTGGTTGTTTTATCTCCCCGTCTGCCCTTTAAAGACATGGATTGTTTGGGTGAAATGACTCATACTGCTGTACTGATGGAAATTTCAACAATTGGCTGTCTGAGTAAGGTAAGTCAAAGGACAAGGATCAGATGAAAAGCAGGCTATTTATCTTTCGAGTTCAAATTTGAGTTATAAGACAACAGCCTAGCTATTGCACAAGATCCATTACAAATATATAGCAGGCAGTAATTCTAAAAAGCAAAATGGGAAGTAGGGAAACTTTGGCTATTCCCTAAATAATATGTTTGTGCATGATAGATTTAGCTGAAGAGAGTATTGACAGCTCTGTTACAGAGCCTTTGATAACAAATCTAAGTTATTCTACTTTTGTCAGTACAGTAACAATTACAGTGTGTTCTTTAAGTTCTCTAAGTGGCTTTTCTTAGAAACAAAATTACTTAATCAACATAGTGAGATACTGCTTTGTAACTGCAATTGTTACATTCACTCAGATTTGTCATACACGTTTGGTAGCGTTTTCTTAAGAGAAGCTGTCATTGCCGCAAGTAAGTAAAGTAGAACATATAGGATGACCCTTTATTGCAGGTCTAAAACTACCTCCATGTTTTAACAGAATCTGAATGTTATCTCTGTAGCCAAAAGAAGCCTTGCAAAGAACTGACTTCTTCCTGCACTGTTAGTTGTCACTTGCAAAGGAGACACAAATGTTCCTGCTTATGATTTTGTTTGCTGTAAATGTTATCTTGCTGTTACAGGTATCAAAGGGTAGTTTGTCTGTCTCTTTAGGCTCAATGTGAAGTAGCAGTAGCTAATTTTTCAATGGGCACTTGCTTTTGATCTCTCTCCATTCAGCAAGGGTGTTTCCAGCAGGAATGAAAGCTCCTGCTAGCAGAGGCTAGAGGTTCCATACTTAGGTGTTGCTCAGAAAATCAATGAGGTAAGGAGGCTAAGGATGGGATAATGTAGGTATGATGAATGTATTGCCCCGTGTATTACAATTCCCCATGACTGACAACTGTCTGTTGTGTTTCATGGTGTAGCTCTGTCATTGTGGCTGATTTTTTTACTCTGTATTATATCCTTACATATATTAAGGATGGCAAAATCCCAGTTACAAGGGGGAAGAGTAGACATTTTGTCTGAATTGTGCACTGCATGATGCTGAACATGGTATAGAAATTATAGGAATGTTTGAGTAGGCCAGGAGTGGAAGAGAGAATGATGAGATACAGGATCTAGCAAAAGAACTGAGACTGGAGAGTAATTTGCTGAATTAAAAAATATAGAAATGAAAAGAGAAAAATGAGAAACTAATAGGAGAAGCAAAGAAAAGAGAATTGTAGGATAACAGCATATAGAAATTGTGATGAGAGAGGAGAGAATAAGACAGGAAACTGCAGGTCATGTAAGAGCAAAAGACATGACAAAAATCAGCCCTAGCATAGCAGAGATTCCAAGGTAAGTAGAACTGGTATAAAACCAGAATATTTTGGCAGTGTGGCTGTCTGGTGGAAAGCCCTTTTACCTCTGCAGGTGTATGGGAGAGAGCTCCCAGAGAGTTTTTCTCTCTGTAATCAGCCAACCATAAACAGAATGCAAGGGGAACAGCAGGACTTCCTAGATGCTCTGATGTCATCTGTCTTATAGACTGTTCTGCCACTCCATGGTTTTTTCAAGTGGTCTGAACTTCATAATAGAACATAGCATAAGCTGAGTTGGAAGTGACCCATGAGGATCATTGGGTCCAACTCCTGACCCAGCACAGGACCATTACCAAGAATCAAACCATGTACCTGAGAGCATTATCCAAACACTTAATGAACTGAGATAGGCTGGTGCTGTGCCAACTTCCCTGGGGAGCCAGTTCCAGTGCCCTCTGGTGAAAAATCTTTTCCTTATACCTGACCTAAGCTTCCCCTGACTCAGATTCATGCTGTTCCCCCAGGTCCTGTCACTGGTCAGGGGAGTGAAGAAATCAGTGCCTGTCCTTCTGCTTTCCCTTGTGAGGATGTTAAAGACTGGAGTGAGGTCTCCCCTCAGTTTCCTCTTCTTTACTAGGCTGAACAAGCCAAGTGACCTCAGCAACGCCTCTTAAGGCTTCTCCTCCAGACCCTTCACCAGCCTTGTGGTCCTCCTCTAGATGCTCTCTACATAGATTAATGTCTTTTTTATGTTGTAGTGCCCAAAATTTATGCAGTTCTGAAACCAGTGACAAATGCAGAAGCCCTCATAGGTTCACTATGTTCTGCGATATTTATACACAGACCTTGTGTCTCTCCACAGCTCATCTCCAAGGACAGTAAAAGATGGTAGGCATTTGAAGGATTTCTAATGGCTACAAGCAACTGAAGGCTTGTTACACCACTGAAAAGCATTCTGTAGCCACACAGACATTTTTCAGTGGGGTGCTGTGCCAATTTGCTTTGCAGTATTTGGATATTTACTCTTCAGTATGTCACCAGGCTTGAGCAGTGTGATTCCCTGCTGAATAAAGGCCTCTGAACTCCCACTCAGGTGGTTTGGTTTAAAGATGGGACTTCTAATGCTTTCTCACTCCAGTGGAAGCTGCTGATAGTGCCACAGATAGCTTATTGCACACAACAAAGCAGGTATGTAAAATACGCATTGCTGAAAGGCATGAATTCATTATGCTCATTTATCACAACAAGCAAAAATCATTATTACCCCACCCAACAAAACATTTATACTTGGAAAATAATTACAAGATGGAATACAGTGGAAAAGCTGGAGCCCAAAGCTTGGACAGGAGCACTCTGTGCTGGGTTAAGAGCTGGCTGGATGGCTGGGCCCAGAGAGTGATGGTGAATGGTGCTGTATCCAGCTGGGGATCATCACCAGTGGTGTCCCTCAGGGGTCTGTGCTGGGCCAGTCCTGTTCAATATTTTTATTGATGACATGGATGATGGGATTGAGTCCACCATCAGTAAATTTGCAGATGACACTAATCTGGGAGCATGTATTGATCTGTGGGAAGGGAGGAGGACTCTGCAGAGAGACCTGGAATGGTTGGATGGGTGGGCAAGGGCATCCTGGCCTGG